GGGGGGGGGGGGGGAGCGAGTGTTCGCTCAAATCGGTGAAAGAGGCGACGGCTCCTGTTCGTCGGCAAGGGAGGCAAGCAAGCACCCCACTGAAGAGGAGCTCCAACTGTGCATAACAAAGGCACGCTCGGGAGCCAATTCAACTGAAGGAGGAGCGAGTGTTCGCTCAAATCGGTGAAAGAGAAGAAAATCAGACTCAACCTCAAACCTTGTTCCTGAACCGGAACTGCTATTCTCTTGCCTTGTTTCTGTAGGTGTAAAAGTAGCTCTTTCCCTCACTCACCGCTATCCCCCGCCCTTCTTTCATTCTACTGCTATTATGATCCCTCATCGATATTCCCTTTTCTTCTGGAACTGATCTTTCGCCCCCGAACCTGAAAGCAAGTCAATCAATCCTAAACGAAAGATGAATTCTCCTTTCTCGTTCAAGAAAGAGTAAATTCATTCATTCAATCCTCTCGGTCAAGCGGCTTTGCTCATTCGCTTCTACAATTCAGTCTCACAATTCTATTGCCGGACCCTTTCGGTCTTCGCAGCTGAGCTCATTCACTTTTATTCTGTCTCACAGCTGAGCTCAATCACCTGAACCTAATTTTACTGTAAACAAAGAAGAAACCGAAATTGACTATCCGAGTTACAGTGAATAAATAGGAGGAATAGGAAAAGGAGCTGCATGAGCATGAAAAGAACCTATGTTTGAAGGGAGAATCTAATGAAAGATGAATGAGACAGAACTACTTCAATCACCTTCTTTCACTCTTTCGACTTCCCTGAGCTACTGAACCTGTCTTCCCTTTCATCGATATTCCCTTCCCTTATTTCTGGAGGTAAAGCATATTCTTTCAATTCATGAAATCCTGAACCGTAACAAAAACAGGAGAGGATAGTCAAAAAGGGGTAAAGCTCCTTCCCCTTATACTGTATTACCTGACCTATACGCAACCTATTTCCTATTTCTTCTTTCACTGTAACCGAAGAAAATGAAGAAAGATCAGCTCATTCACCTTGTCCTTATTCCTTCTCCTTCACTCGCTATCGGTTCGGTCTCATGGCTTGGCTCCCTCACCTCGTATACTCTCACAATTTCATTTCCTGCCCCTGGGTAAAGCTGCTTCGCTCCCTTCTTTCATTAAGTAGCTCTTTTCTTTTCTTTCCCTATCGGTCGAAATGTGGAGATACCTTTACTGGCACCTGTTAGCTCTGTTCGGCATGGGTTAGCGACATAAAGTGCGAATCAAAGTTCATCGGGCCATTCCTTTTCTTCGACAACTGAACTATCATCACCGTTCTTAAGCCTAGTGTGGTCATATGCAAAATCTTGCTAAGCTTCATTCTACAAGCATTCCTCTATTTGAATGCATTTTGAAGGTATATGGATTCCGGATCATAAGGTAATTTCTTCTGCAACCGATGTGACCGAAGATTGAATTGGTACCAACGAACCAGGAACTGATGGAATTGATGATTTGAACAGGGTGCGGAAGAAGAAAGAAAAAGATAGAGGCTTTAGATAAAGATAAAGGCTGGAAAGAGAAAGGTTGAAATCGAGTTCCAAAAGGAATGGACTCCTCAGAGGGGGTAGGAGAACTAAGTTAAGTCAGAAAGTCTTTCTAGCGAGGGGAGCGCAGAGTTAGTTATAGCAATTTCACTCTTTTCCTAAAGGGTATTCTTCAAATTTTGAATAGCCAAGGTCTTTTGGTCTAGGGCAATAAAGAGTTCTGATTGGTAATAGATAGGAGGCTTAGGTTTTTCTTGCTCAACCGGGAATCTTGTCTGACCCCGAGTAAGGGCCTAATTCACCTACGTACGTAAAGGGAAGGGTGGCGTAGGTCTTTCACTCTTGTTGTTACCTCAATAGATGAGTGAAGCGAAGGGACGAGAGACCGATAGACACGAGAGGAGTTCCTTCTAGGAGGGAGAGCATGTAATTGAATGAAGAAAATCAAAACTACACCAAGTTATGGGTGCAATCAGTACATATGACTTGGCTATCGGCCTGTCCTTTTTCGCAAAGCTTGGCTAAAACTTATTTGCCTAAATATTGGCTAGCTCAGAGAAAGATTCCAGCTAGTCAAAGAAGGCGGTCCTGAGCAGATGATCTTTGGATTCCATAACAGCACGTCCAACGGCTATTCAAATAGATCCTGTTCCTACCCGCCCGCAACCCTGATTCGGAATGGAATCCTATCGACTGACTGGGTACTTTTAGACCAAAAGGATTTGAGCCACTTTCACTAGGCGAGGGCTTTGCTTTAGTTTGCTTTCTTCTTTTCTTTTCGATCACAGGAAATGAATGATTCAATCTCGAACTGGGCCTGACTATTCAGTTAAAGTGAGAGTCAACTATCGAGGGTAGACATTTTGAGGCACTTTTTCAAGACTGCCGTCTTTGCTAGTTAGTAAGTGCATCGGAACGCTAACGGCGAGGTGACAACTAAGCTTTGTCCCTGGCCCTTAATCAATCAATGGGGCAAGGAGAGCGGAGAAGCTGACAGACCGAGGTTCATTCAGGAGAAAGAAAGAAACCAAACAAATACCTACCTATTTACCGAGAAAAAGAAAAGAGAGAGATAGTCAAACCAGAACCGATATTACCTGATGTGATTGTCAGTTAGTCTTGAACAGTAAACAAAGACGAAAAGAAAGAAAGAAAGAAGAATGAGACAGAACCTTTACTGTGTTTGAAAGACTGAAGAAAGACAAGATGAATGGAAATCCTTTACAGTCGAGTAAATCAAAGAAAAGAGAAAGCAAGAGACTGAACTACTGAACTACTGAACTTGAACTCCTTTATCTTTTTCCTTTATTGTGATAGAATCAAATGAAAGATGAATGAGACAGAACCTCCTTCTCCTCCAGCTCCTATTTATTCCGGAACGAACTGTAAACCCCTTCCCCTTTTTCGATATTACCGTCCCGGCTCCTATTGATTCAAGATCCTTATTCATCAAGTCAAGACTGAAGATGAATGAGACTGCGGACTCAACTCCTTATGATATGAATGAGAGTGAACTGTAAGACTCAACCTTCTTCTCCTACTGATTGAACTAACGAGACTTCCCTTCGCTACTGAACCTGCCTCTGCCTACCTCTTTGGCTCTATCTATTCCCTTCCCGGATTGAACAAGGTCTCACAATTTCATTGCCTTCCCCGAATTTCCCCTATTTCTTCTGGAACAGTAACCTCAGCCGAAAGATTCATTCTTTCTCTTCTCTTCGTAAACAAGTCAAGACTAAAGAGTCAATTCCTTGCAGCTCAATCACCTATCCTGACGAGTCAATTCCTATTCAATCCCGTAAACGAGGAGAAAGCAAGACAAGAAGAAATTCAGGAGTTAGCAGCTTTTCAAGACTCAAGCAAGAAAGACTCAAGCTCAAATCTTAACCGATATGACCTTCACTTTACAGTTCAAGAATCAAGGAAGAAGAAGATATTTATTTCTTTCTTTCTTTACATGTGAGTCAATTCCTATTCAATCCTGTAGAATCAACTGAAGGAGAAGCAAGCTCATGAACCTGAACCTTTTTTCTTTCACTCTCTTACAAGGTAAGTAAAGGGGCTGGATGAGAAAGTGTTGAAAGACTCCTTATTAATGAGAGTGAACTCCGTAACCAGTAAGTAAGAAAACGAGGAAGGTTAGTGGTTGACACTTTGCGCTCCTTCACCTATCTGTCTCATTTCTTCTTTCTTGCTTGCTTTCAGTCCTGAACCCCGTAACCTCGGTTTCCCAATTTCATTTCCTTCACGAGTACGTTCACTTACTCCTACAAATATAGATACACCTTGATGAGCTTGGGCAATGTTGTTGATTGATCAATTCTATAATGAGTACTGGACACTCCAGCCCCTACCAATAGTCCTATTTTGACTCCACGGCGATAAGGGGTTAAAAGATCTACTACTTTTATTCCTCTTTCTAAAATAGAGTTGTATCTAATAACTGTATAAAAGCAGGGGCAGATCTATGAATAGGAGATCTTGTCTGAGTATCTACAGGACCCAAATTCTCAATAGGCTCTACAAGCACCTTGAAAATTAGGACGAGAGAAGCTCCGATGACTGGAACACTTAGAAGAGCGAAAGTCTCAACCACTTACCTTACTCTTTGACTTACTGACTCAATAGGGTGTAGAGAAGAGGTGAATGAGAATGAATAAGAATTAACGTCTTTCCTTCAGGTTCAGTAGCTCAGGTTCCGGTGAAGGAAAAGGTTTGAGGTTCAGTCTTTCATTTCGTCTTGACTGAATGTTCCAGAGTTCAGTTCGTAAACTCTTGAGTTGAGTCTTTCGAAGCTGCGTCTTCATTCTTGAATTGTAAACAAACTCTTCTTTCCTTTCGTCTTTCCTTTCAACACTTTCAGGTTCAGTAGTTCCGTCTCATTCATCTGACGTCTCCCTTCTTTCCCTTCATTCTCTTTCTGTAAAAAAGGGGCCAAGCCGAGGTGATTGAGTTAAGTCGAGAATTCTTGGTTAGTCTCCTTTTGCCAACCTACTCCCTGATGATCATACAACTGCTTTACCTAGTTCAATCTGGTTCCTGAAGTTCAGTAGTGAGGGAGTTTACCTCGGTTACACAGTCTTTGAATAAATAGGTGCAAGGAGAAAGAACCCAGCAGTTTAGAGCCGAAGGAGCGAAGCAGAGGTGATTGAGCAAATCTTTCTTTCATTTTCTAGACTATAAAGAAAGGACAGGACAGAAGATGCTTTACCCTATTTACCGAGTGTAAGAGAGAGAGGAAAGCAAAGAAAGAGAACAGACTAGACCGGAAGTTAAGGAAAGGCCAGGCCAGGGATGAAAACACCTATTTACCTTGTCAAATCACCTCTTTAATAGGTCATATCGGAAAGAAAAGCAAAGAGAATAGACCAGAAAGGATAGTCAATCAAAGGGGAAGGAGCAAATCATCCAGCTGTCTTACCGAGGTCAAGAATAAAGAGAGAGGAAGGAAATAGAGGGGAAGGGAAAGTAGCTAATGAATTTACTCCCCCTTGGAGAGGTTCAGGTTCAGTAGTTCAGTAGGTTCCGGAGTTCAGGATCATGAATCTCTTTGACCGACAAGGATAGGAAGGAAGGAAGGAAAAGGTTGAAGGTAGAGTAGTGCTTGAGTTTCCCTTGTGTGAAGGATTGAATGAAGGAGATAGCAGTAAGTAGCTCGACGATTGTAAAGCAGCTAATTCTTTGACTCTCCCTCCTGTAAAGTTCAGGGAAGGGCAGAGAGTATAAGGTTGGTTCAGGGGCAGGCAAAGCAATGAGACGAGAAGAGGCGCAAAGCGACGAGACTGTAAAGGGCAGGAGAGGAAATTCATTAGCTAACAGGAAAGTCAAAGAGTGAAAGCAAGGAGAAGAGAAAGAAGCCAACGAACAATTTATGCCTTTGGGTTACTCTCGACAAACAAACAAATTCTTCTTTACAAATCTAACTAAGAGCTTAGAATAAGACAAGAGCTCATAGGTGAAGGAAAGAGAAAGAAAGAAAGAAAGACACACCTATTTACATACATCAGGTGAAGGAAAGAAGAGTATAAGATCAGTCGCGAAGACACTTTACCCTGAAAGAAGGAAAAGGAGAAGATCAAGCAAAGAAGGGAGAGGAAAGAAAAGACAAAGACTAAGTAAAGAAGGGAGAGAGACCAAGATAGCATAGGAAAAGGTGAAGGAGCGATGAAGCCAGACAGCCAAGCCAGCCCATTTACCTTGTGAAATGAAAGAAGGGACAGTCAAAGGGGAATGAGTTTAGTGCCTAAACGCTTGAGTTCAGTCTTTCAAGCAGAATCAAAGAAAAGATCAGAGAAAGAGAAGGAGCGTAGCAACGAGACCAACCAACCAATAGCGAGAGGA